GAGTTCTATATTCTGTAAATGTTACCATTCCAAGAACATTTTTGCTCCGATATGTATCGATTTTTATTTATCACCAATGGTCATTTGATTCTCTTCGTGATTCGTGAAAATTCATATTTTTACGAATACCACGGAAAATGAAGAAACAAAACTTGCATAGAGGTATGTGTCGTAACTAGAAGAAATTTTGTACACTTAATTTTGGATATTATGTATATTCTGTACATCGCTGCATATATAAATTTGCCAATTTCCAAGTGCATAGATGAAAAGTGTAAATATTATATAAAGATAAGGAAGAGTTATTATACAAGTTGCAAGGAATCTTCACTGTGGTCTTTGTATTTTGTCACTTAAATGGTAAAAAATTACTTTACACCTACAGACACATATAGACATTCTAAACATTTCTTCCAAAAATCGCAGACAATCAGAAGCACGCGGTTCGCCGACCAATTTTCTACTCGTCATATTCCAAATGATAATCGGAGCGCCTGGCTTTCTGAATTGCCAATTCCCACCAATTAAACTCCAATCCCCGCGCTACAATACACAGTTCGTTAACTCTATTAAAAGAAGCATTCCTTTCTTCCGGAAAAAAAGTCTACTTACACATACCCCTTCGTTTCCACGTACACGTATATCTCTGCATTCTGCGTATATATTTTTACCATAACTATTCGATGACGTTAACGAAACTTCTACGTGGCGCGATTATTTCGCTATTTTCAGGCAAACCAGCGCTGTTATAATTCGATTTCTTGGCAGCGATAATGGACGGCCGACAGTTTCGATCCGTATCATTGATCGAAAGTTATTTCCCGAAGGAACGTATCAGACTTTTCGTTAGCTGGGGCTGCGCCCTGGTGCCCACCGCGCTGATTCACGTTCGCTTTGCGAAACTCTCAGCCTTTCGCAATAATCGTCGGTACGTCGATAAAGTGGCGAGAACACGGTGTTTTCGAAAGGAAAGCTCACGGCCGTTTTGTTGGGTGACACGCGTGAAAAACAAGCGACGAAGATGCCGGATGTGAAACTCGAAATTACGACGCGTTCGTCTCGAACCATTGTCAGGCGAGACAACGAGTCGAAACGTTTCCTGGAATTAGTTACGATGGAGTTAGCACTAAGTTCCATTGAGTTTCGGTTGATCTCTAGCAGCGCGTTCTCTTTCTTTCTTCTTTCTTTCTTTTTTTTTTTTTTTTTTTTTTTTTTTTTTTTTTTTTTTTTTTTTTTTTTTTTTTTTTTTTTTTTTTTTTTTTTTTTTTTTTTTTTTTTTTTTTTTTTTTTTTTTTTTTTTTTTTTTTTTTTTTTTTTTTTTTTTTTTTTTTTTTTTTTTTTTTTTTTTTTTTTTTTTTTTTTTTTTTTTTTTTTTTTTTTTTTTTTTTTTTTTTTTTTTTTTTTTTTTTTTTTTTTTTTTTTTTTTTTTTTTTTTTTTTTTTTTTTTTTTTTTTTTTTTTTTTTTTTTTTTTTTTTTTTTTTTTTTTTTTTTTTTTTTTTTTTTTTTTTTTTTTTTTTTTTTTTTTTTTTTTTTTTTTTTTTTTTTTTTTTTTTTTTTTTTTTTTTTTTTTTTTTTTTTTTTTTTTTTTTTTTTTTTTTTTTTTTTTTTTTTTTTTTTTTTTTTTTTTTTTTTTTAGATGGTAAAGATGAGTTAGATTATTTTTGAGATACAAATTACACAGAGAAGAGGTTGTTCTTTTAAAATTCTTGTCAAAAGCGGGAGAAGTGACTTGTAGTGAAAGCATTGGAATAGATGATGGCGAAGATGGTTCCAGTGTGAATGTAAAATTGATAAATTATACTTGGAAATGCGGAAATGTTGAAATGGTTTGTTTAGGAAGGATTGAAGGTACGTTTCCGTATAGAAAACTAGGTTTTTAACAAATTTCATAGAGATAGTAGCCAAAGTGGACGAGCTCCAGCGAACGAGATAATTGTTTTCTAAAATATACTTGCGTTCGTTCGTAGAACTCCCTTTTTACGAAACTTCCTTTTTTATAAAAGATTTACGAAATAACGACGAAGGGATTATAAAATTTATTGTCTAGTTTTCGTAGCCGAATAGCGAATTTTATTCGGAGATTGTAAATATATATAGGTCGAATATCCATGAGAGAAATTTTTCCCAAAATTCGAAACGTGTAAGATGTACAATTACTTCCTTCTTTTTACAGAGAACATAAAGATTTTAATCGCCGTGATTTTTATTGTTAAGACAACATCTGTCGACATTTCACGCGGCCTTCAGCGTCCAATTCTATTTAAAGTTAAAGCTTCGCCGAAATGACATGACACGTATTGAATATCTGATATACGACATCGTACATTCGCACTGATAGGCTCCTAGGATATTTCGTTCCCGCATAATCAATGAGTTCCTCTCCCGTTTTCTTTTTTGCTTGTGAAAGTTCAAGGTGAAGAGATGGAACTGAAAAGAGAGAAAATTTGACCATTTTGATTCATATTATTCATCCTAATTTAACGGGGCATATTACGAATCTAAAAACATGTAAAATACGTGTATGATCATTTATGTAATTCCTATGAATACTTTCATTTTTAAAATTGATAAAATTCCGAAAGATCCTATACATATAATATCTTGAATCTCTACGTTGAAAATTGATTGTTAATTATTCGAAAAAAAAAATGTAATTTTAACGTTATAATTCAATCACACGTCTATTTATAATGCAACAACTTGATATTTCATCCACATTGCTAACTCTTAACCAATTTATTAATCGCCTGTCTTATTTATATCGTATCATTGAACAAAGACAGCACTAACCACATAATCGATTCTTCTTCAGACTGTAGGTTTCCAAATGTAAATTATTTTTCTGTCATTCTCTTATTTAGAATCTTATCCCTCGTCGTTAGAAGATTTTTCAATTTCACAAAGACATTGACAAAACAATATAATCGTTATCGATATCGATCTCTCGGTCAAATCGTATACTAATGATTTTCTTTGAAACACGAAACATCTGTTTCTCGATTAAAACTAAAGCGAGATCGAGACGTAAGGAAGTTCGAAGAACGCGGCATGATTGACAACGTGTTAATTTCGAAATAGAGGCAACGATTGTAATTGTACATTAGAGAGATCACAATTGAAATGATCGTCCTTCGCGTTAATCTTTTCCATGCACTTTCCTATTTCGATCGAAGAAACGAGGTAGAATATCTTGCATGCCGTTGTTCTATTCTGCGTGGCTAGAAAGTCGCTGCAATGCAAATAAGGGCCAGAATAAGCACGCGTTAAATCGTCGAATGGTAGAATAGGTCGTCGACGGCGATGCGACCACGACAAGCGTTTCGATTTCGATGCATATGTTTGCGGTTATCCCGGTGGTGAGCAAGGAAAACCGCCGATGAATATCCGTCGTATCCAAGCTACAATACTCTGAAACCTTTGATTTCCAATAGCTTTTAACATCGGCAGACGCTATTCTCTGGTTTCCTGGCGTCACTCTGTATCTGATATTCCAACCGCGTTCGACAGCTTCTTTAACGCCTAATTAACAACAATAGTAAGATTTCTTCCATTTCTTGCTAGTCAAAGGATCATTTCTATCTTGTTACTGTACGTAACATTATGGGTCGAGCCAAGCTCGATCTAATGGACTGGAACTACTAACTCGATAGTTAAAAAGTCGTAGATAAATAGTCAATAGGAAGTACTTAAAAGGCACTGAAATCTCTTTAGGTTGTGTCAATTTTCATAAAGTGTTTCTCTTCAAAAATAGACGGTTAACGCTTTGCCTTATAAGCATTCTTTAAGTAGCTCTTCGAACGATTATCGATTATTTGCCGTTGTGACTGATGCGAAATTATATATTAAATATACTAGAAAGCTACACAATCTGAAGAATTTTGAAGTTGTAATCAGCGTCGAATTTAAACGTTTTATAAATCTGTTTTTATTAAATTTTAATGCCATGCCAGAATAACGAAAGATTATTAATTTATTCCTAAGCTGAGAACGTGTATTTTTTATGTCTGAGAAATATAGAAAATACAGAAAATTTCTCTCTAAATTCTCTCTAAATTCAGGGGATTACATTTATAAAATTATTAATATCTATCTTGAATAAAAAAAAAAAAAATACACAAAAAACATACATGATGCCATAAATAGAAATTCAATTTTATATAAATTATACTTTGAAGAAATATTTCGTATATTCTATTTTTTAATATATTAATAACAATTAATTTTTTAATATTCTATTTTTTAATATTCTATATTTTAATAATATATTTAATATTCAATATGTGATGTAGATGAAAAAACGTTGAGGCGAACATTTCTTTCTTTCTTTTTTCAGTAGAATCATAATGAAAATCACTTTCTGACGTGTTTGAAAAGTTTTTCACTATATTCGTTCATTTTACGCTTTCTGTATACGCTTTTACCTTAATCGTAGGCCCAAACTGTGTCCATGTGTAAGACTAACAAAAGAAAGTGGCCTCCTCTCGCATTGCCAAGCCTCGATTACCCAGTAAGATCATCGAGTTGTTCGTATAAAACCAGACAAGTGGAAAGATCTTCATTGCGATAAATTAATTAATATGCAAACGTATCTCGATCAATGTGTATCGTTTTGATGTGCTATTTAAATAAAAATAAAAGGGGAGAGGGAACTATTACGAGAGCAAACGCACGTGTCATCCATCAATATCGAACATTTGCCAGATCTAACTTGTCTGCTTCTATTTCGAAAGATATTCAGTGAAAGGAAACACGTTCTTTAATCGTGCATAGCCGTTTCATCTTTCTTAACTTTTACAACTTACGAAAGGCTCGCAATTTATCGTTAATAATACAATGGAAGCTGAACGATAAAATTATCTGCAAAATCTTCCGGAATTTACAGTATATTTATTTGTATATTTATAAATGTATAATTAGATATTTATAAATAAATATATATATATACACATCAAAGTATATTATTTGGGAAGATTTTGTTTTCAAGTCATAGTATATTACCTTCGTTAATTGTCTTTATTGAACGACTGCGCATTTTGGCAATTAAAATGCCAGGATTACTTTCCACGAGAAAGATCGGATCATTTCATTTTACTTAATCTTAAACAAACTTCTCCGTATTTTTATCCTCTGGAAAAATATCTTAATGTATGTTTTCATGATTTGTTGCTCAATTTTCAGGTGACCATGACAGGAGATTACGTTCTGGCAGTCGCGTCAATTATGATAGCTCAACTGCAAAATGACGATGTCACCCTCACGCTCAGTCAGGTAAAGTCCGCAAACCATATCTACAATATGAATATTTTTTAACTATAGAATGTTTAATGCGATAGATAGAATAACTTTTAGTAAAGAAGTATCTATTATTTACGTGCTGTTAATTAATACGTTGATATTTGTACGGATACGTAAGAGTATTCACATGCTCTAGGATCCTGATATAACCCTGATGATAAGTATTGACAAGTCCAGGTGCTTTCCAGGTCGTGACGGACCTGGTGCAGGGTGAATTTATGCAGCTTGGCTCTAAGGAGACGGAAAACGAGAGATTCGCGCATTACCTCACAAAAACATATCGCAAGACGGCCAGCTTAGTTGCTAATTCCTTGAAAGCGGTATGTACTGTCATGTTGATCTTGATATTTAATCCTTTCGTACAGGTCGAAACAGTTTTTAATACGAAGAATTATGTCTTCTAATTAATGTGAATATAAATACGATTAATTTAACAAATAATATATCATTAATAAATACATTTTGAACGTAGGTGACTATGCTAGCTGGTGGTGATGAACAGTTGGTCGAATTAGCCTTCCAATACGGTAGGAACATCGGTTTAGCATTTCAATTAGTCGACGATCTTTTGGATTTCGTGTCGTCTTTGTCAACAATGGGCAAACCTACCGCAGCAGATTTGAAGTTAGGTCTTGCAACTGCTCCAGTTCTTTTCGCCTGTGAACGGGTAAGAAAATGAAAAAAGTACATAAATTAATTGGTAAATAGGTTTTAGAATCAGGACTTACTATAATCCACTTCGTATTATACGGCTCGTACAGAATGAAACTTATATTTATAGATAGTAGTTCAATAAATAATTCATAAATCGTAGTTGAACATAATATAAATTGCTATATTCTTTTGCTTTTTAATATCACGATTTGACCTTTCAATTTCTGACTCACCTCCTTCGTTTTTCTATCATAGTATCCAGAATTGAACGCGATGATCATGCGCCGATTTCAAGAGCCAGGAGACGTGGAGAAAGCGTTCGAGCTGGTGCACAAGTCGCAGGGCCTGGACCAAACGAAATTTTTGGCGCGGAAGCATTGCATCGAGGCCATGAAACTTGCACAGTCTTTAGCCGAGAGCCCGTACCAAAAAGGTCTGCAAGTGGTCTGCGATTTAGTATTGAATCGTATGAAGTAGCGATATGAGGAAAAACGATAGGAACTGTATACGAAAGTAAAAAGGGTACGATGAAACGTTTTGGAAAAACAAACTGGTAGTCGCAAGAGAATTAATGTTGGCCACGAGGAACGCCGATTAATTTAATTACAATTACAATTACAGTGAACAAGGAAATAATGTGCCGTTGATACGACAGATTATACTGATTGTAGAGAGAGAGAGAGAAAAAAAAGAATATCGAACAAATGCGTAGGCGTAGATGATCGCGACACTCATGTTAAACGCACTCATGACGAATGTGTTCGATTATTATTAATGGTACTTATAATTCTATATTTAAACTTGTACGTTTGTAACATAAAAGTTCAAGATGTTTATATTTGCGATATTGTTAACGATGTGGTAATTTTATGAGAAAAAAAGAAATGGGAAGATTAGCAGGATATTATTTTTATAAATTTCAGATGTAATGTAATAAGAGGTGCCTCATGTCTATAACGCAATATGCAACAATAAGTACGAGCGACATCACTGCGATGTTACTCTAATCGTGTTTAAACGTTACCGAATACTATATAATAATAAGCGAGAGATCACTTACTAAGTGCCCAAGTACATCTTGCAAACGGGAGATACAACGTATAAGAGAATGTAAAGAAATGAACGATAACGTTTATCTCGCTCTATAGTGCACATATGACCTGATTTTATCGATATTGTCGCTAGCCAATCATAAGTGTAAATAAAATGATTTATAGGAGTAATTGTAATGTATTAGAATTGGTAAATCTGCCAGATTGTTGTTTTGCTGGAACCACTGGAACTGTGGTACTGTGTAACTAAATTCATTTAATAAGTGACAAGCAATGTGAAAAACTTTCCACGACAGTATTACATCAGATTAACTCGATTATAATGTTATAATTCGGTATACTGTAACAATGCGATTACTCTAAAACAGAAAATTGGCATAGCTATTAAATTTTGCGTAAATTAACTTCTTTCTAAATGTAATCGGATGATTTAATGCATGTTATTATTACGTAAAAGAGTAAATCTACATATATATCAGTATAGAAAGTAACAATCGCAAGAATACCAATACTAATTAATAGCATAATTTAATATTTTGTTTAAAGTGTGCGAAGAATACCTGCCAAAGAAGACCATATGGTCTTGATTCTTCCACTTGCATGGAAAAAGTATTTTCGATTCATCAAACACAATAAGAATTGTTTATTATTGATTGGAATGTTATAAATCATGAAAAATTGTTAAGTTTTTATATATGCATAAAATTATTCATATTGTTTTTTATTCAAAAAGATATCTAATAAAAGTGGAATACCATTTTCCATAATGTATTACATTCTTCTTGAATAAAAAAACTGCTCAAAATACTATTTGCTACATAACTGAACATATAGATATAATTGTATAATAACTTTTATTTATAACATGAATTAATGTATATAATTGCTCTTTAAGGTAACATAAATCATTGCTGTAAAATTATTAATAAAACAAATACAAAAATGTAATTATGATCAAACGTAGATGTATATTAAGATAAAGATATTCGTTTGGTATGGAGAATAGAAGTAAATGAAGCTTTCGATCTCCTGCACATATTAAAATTATTCTTTAATAATTTATTTAGCCTATGCACATAATCCATAGACAAAGTAGTATAGTTACAAATTCTGAACAAAAATGAAATATTCGTTATTGTTATGAACACGTATATAGTTAATGATTGTAGTTTTTGGAAGAAAGTTAATATAAAAAAGCCAAGACCATGGGTGCTCTTAATAATCATTACAAATACACACATATAGAAAACACATGTAAATGCATGATCTTTTAGATTCTTATGTCAGAACTAAATTGTAATATAGATCGATTAGCTTCATTATTAATAAATTGTAAACCATAAGGTTCTTTATCTTATTTGTTATATTGGGGAACACTAAATCCATGTTATATAATTTCCTTTTAATATAAATGTTATGTTAAAACTCAAAACAGATCTTATCTTCAAGGTTCCTTATACATCAGTTAATATAGAAAAATTTTAATAAATATCTTTTTCTATTACATGCTTAAATGGATCAGATTAGTCCTTTTTTCATTATATGAATAAATAACATTAATGTATATTCCCTTAATGTAAATTTTAGTGAAATATACAATACTATCCTATAGTGAAAAAATGCAGAACATGCGAATCCATTTTTCATTTTATAACATCAATATAAATAGCACGGTTACAACCGTGCAAACAATTCGTCTGATATTATATTCAAATTCGACTTAATTGTCAAAGATGATAAAATCAATAGCTACGAAAAGATCTTCGCTTATTAAACTCTCGAAAGTAAATTTCTCACGACACGTAACTGACAGCTGACAACAGTGATAGGTTACGCACATAAAATCCGATGCACATGAGCGACAGCGACGTGATCGGTGTAGACGGGCGATGCAATGTCGTTCATGTACGTTATCCGTTCTGAAACTATCATAGATCCTTGACTGAAACAAGTTTTCCAGCGTACAGTATTTCAAATGTACGCGCGCTTTTAAACGAATCAGGAACCATCCTGCTACAGCCAATCGGGAGACAGCTAGGCGAAATTTTGGCGCGGAGCGTCATTGTGCTGTTGAATTGTGAGTGGTATCAAGATGTATCATTTTTTGAAATGCGTGATTTCAACTACGTAGTGTTTTCCCGTACCTCCATGTGGTGAGACATAGGTAATCGTATTGTTTGATATACAATTATTAATTGCATTACTATAAGTAATAGAATTATGAATTATATATGCAACAAATAATGCGAGCTAATTGGCTACGATCGCAATTGGATGTAGTTAGAACATTTATCAAATAGTTTCGTTCTAGTCTGAGCAAAGTATCGTGTACAGAAATTTAATGAGTTATCATTTAATTTGCACTATATTAAATTCTACATCTAATGTTGTTCTAAGATGAATAATTTGTTCTAAGTAGAAGTATTCGTATTGCAATGGCAAACCATTATCGCCATTATAGTGGTCATAATTTCACAGTAAAATTAATTTCAATTTCGGTCATGAATAAAATAATTTTTTTCTGTGAGTCACGGGATGCGTACGTCTTAGTTGCAAGAGACAGCCTGTATAAGAAAAGTGGTTAAAATAAAGGTGAAAAAATCCTAATATCTGAAACATTTATTTGTAAATAAAGTTCACAATGATGTCATTATTATGATCATATTAATAATAACAAGTACTCGTTACCCACAATCAATTTGCTCGCTTATTTCGTTTCTTTTTATTTCTGTTACATGAATTTATAACGTGTAATAAAATTGCAAAGACATATGGTATAGACATTAAGCGATCTGTCATATCTTTTATTCCTTTTCAATCGTTGGAAAAAGGAAGTATATTTTTGTCACTTAAGTAGCAACGAGTATATACGTTATATATCTTTTTTTCTCTGTTTCTATAATTTAATCGCGTTACAGGAATTCTTATCGTATCTGATAAAATGTAAATAGCTAACGCAGTTCATTCTTAAAAAGGCACAAGTTTTTTTCCTCTTCCCGCGACGAAAATTTATTTCAATCCCCCAGTTCGATCGTCAAACACCTTCTTCTCTCCTTCTACAACATCGTTCGCCATTCTGCAATCGATTTTTTTAGTAGTGCATCATTTTGGTTTGTTATGTGATAAATATTAACAATTTTAACATTCATTGTTGAAAAAAAGTTCCATGAATCACTGTTTTACCGACGAACTCATCAATTGGTAATTTCCTTTCTTTTTTGACATAACATGGTAAAATAGTTTTCATATTTGATAATGTTATAACAAATAATTAAATACATTTAAATACGTTATATATCTATCAAAGATTGAAGAAAATTCCCATCAAAAGCTGTGCATAAAAAGGACAAAAAGTAATAAACATAGTTTTATGTACGATTATTGAATACGCTCAAAAGTGAAGTAATTACAACAATAATATTTGAATAATTAAACAAGTTTAAATATAGGTATAACATCTCAATGTATCAATATAACGTTTCATTATACTAAAATCTACCTATTATGTAGTTATTGATTTTTATATTCATCGAATGTACTTTAGATTGGAGAACGCTGTTCAGATTAACATCGAATAAAAATATGCATCTCCACACTCTTCACTGAATGTTTTACGAATGCAACTGGAGGATTGTTTAAACAATAAGATCACACATCTTTTCTTTATATGGACGAAACGTTCGAACAGAACTCAGAGACTGAAAATTTAAAAGCTACTCAGTCGGTACAGGTGTGTCTATCCGAAAGCTTCATTATACTCGTATGTACGTAATATAAAAACAACTTAAAAAAGAAAAAAGAAGATAGCAACACGACAAATCTACAAAATATACAAAGTACAGGGCTGTATTTATTGTCGACAGTAGACTACGACAAATAAATCGCAACTGCTGTGTCTGGTCTGCGAACAATCGCAGAATTACTATACGTCTTTTCTTATCATCGAACTAAAAACAACCGGATATCCTCCTTCTTACGTTACGCTTGTGACAATCAGCCGTTTATATCGCGAGGAACGATAAGATTTTCTTTTTTTATGTTATGCGGATTAATTAGTTCGCATTCGCGTGCAGTGTCGTTCGCCCGATAAAAATAACGTTCGACAGCTGACACGAACCGCACGAAATGGATTTTAAATTTTCTGAATTTTGAATGTATTGAAAATTTAAGGTTGAACGCTCATAGTTCTGGAAAATATTAACACGTTCCGTGCCGGGTAAAAATTGAAAGTGTCGGTGAAGTTTTAAAATAAAAAGAATTTATCGTAGAATATCTAGATACGCGTAGAAAATAGGCGGCGATT